GAAAGGGTCGTTCGACCCCCAAAAGGGTCACAACCCACAGGTTGAGAACCGCTGCTATGGGGTCATGTAGGGGTCATGGCTGCTCTTCAGACAAGAGGGGAAATGCAAATCCCAGGTGTATTGTTTGTCTGAGCTAATCTTGTCAGTTTGGGCTCCTTGCCTATTGTGTTACTTATTTAGGGTTTTTGGCTGTTCTTTATTTATGAATAGTGTGGCCCAGCTTTCTGAATAGATGCAAAATATCATTCCTAAAGACTAGCCTCTTCAGGCTTCTGCTAGAGGCTATTTTCCTATAGCAGGAAGACTGGAGCTGCTTTCTGCCATTGTTAAGATTTTTCTCCTCATTTAGGGCAAATATTCTATCCTGCCTCTTTTAATATCCTTTATAGTTTTATTCTGGGGCGGGGTGGCCCTTCCATAGCAGGAAGCCTCCAGATCACTTCTTTTGTCTTTGTTTGTCTTATTTCTCAGTTTATTTCAACATAGAAATGTTGAACTGACTTACTTGCATTCTGTTCGACACCCTGATTTACACCTTCACTTTATAGAATCAAAACCCCAAAGCATTTACTGGCCTGGAGGGGGAACGGGATCATCAGCAATTTTTTTTCATAAATGCAAGGAATTTGCTGGCTGAGGAATTCTGAGAATGTGAAGTTCACCGAGGAAGAACCAAGATGGAAACATACTAGCAGCTTCTGAAATAAGCTCCCAGCATGTAACAGACCTTATTACTTCTGGCTTAACTGGATGTCCCCAGAATGCCAAAGGGCAAGAAAAGAAGTCTGACCCATCACAACAACCTTACTGGAGCCCATAAATCTAACAAGGCAGAAAAACAAATGAAGATCAACTCTTCTGTCCCAGAGGTACCTAAAAATGTAATGAATCCATGACCTCAGAACCCATTTCACCTCCAAGGATTATAATAATACTGGACCTCTCCATAACACTGCTCCTCCACTCTCCAAAGACTGGCCAAATCATTGCCTGGAGTAGGGATATATTTTCCTGGAGATAACTCCAGGTATTACCCCAGCCAACCCTGTAATAACCATATAATGAAACCTTTCTAGAAGATTTGCCTACAGAAATTCACCCATCTTAAAAGTTGCTGAGGCTGAAAAACATGCAGTCATTTCTCCATGTATTTTACCAAACTTAAATTTTTGAAAATATTCATGGATTCCTTGGAACATGTGAAAGAGTGCTTTCTTACATAAGTTATTGCTGTGCATTGTCTCCAAAGTTTTTAACATTGTTGATGCAGATGTGGTTTTAGTATTCCTGACCATGGCTATGATTCTATTTTAATGTTCCTTTGTTCATATTTATTCATTTTCTATCCTGCAGAACTAGCGATTCATGATTTAAGAGATATAATATTCTATTTCTATCTTCCTGGTCAGAGCTCTGTTGGGTTAAAAGAAACCCTAGATCTGCCGAATGGAAAATGATTTTGCTAAAAAGCCTTGGGCAAAATGGGCCTGTAGAATAGAATAGATAACATTTATTATCATTTTTTACTGTGAGTACAGTGGCACGTATTAAAAATAAAATTCTGTTGCCACTCTCAAAAGAATGTACGCACGCACACACAAACACACTGTTATGTGCTCCTGGCTACTTTCCTTTGTGACCAGAGGCAAGCTCGCCTGACCAATAACCAGCCAAGACACAGTGAAGGCCTTTTGTTTCGTTTATTGCAATAAGCAGGGAGAGAAGCTATCAAAGCTTGGTTCTCTCCAAAGTTTTAACCCAAAATATCTCCTTCTTTTATTCATCCCTATCACCGCCTGCTACAGCCCTCCTCTTTCCCCATTGGCTGAGGTAGTATGAGGTTACACTCTTTCCATCTGCCTATACACATTTCCTGATAACATACTAAATCATATTCACTTATACAATAAGAATAAGAAAAATTATTTTCTTACGGTTATTTTAAACTCAGTATATATTTATGTCCCCATTTTAAACAATAAGTTCTTTTCCTGCTTTTCAATTCAGCTTATTTTCCTGTTCTCCATTCAACCTTCCTTTCTGGCTAGCCATTTCCTATAAAAAACTATTTATCTATTTTATTACTTCCCTCTTCCTTTCTCAGACCCAGCTATTTTTGCCTATATGGTTATCTTACTTCCTTAATCTCTTCCTGACTCTCACCTTCTGTATTTTTTTCTATTCAATTAGTTTCCATTGTATTGTAGGTTTTAACTGTCTCTGAAGATTTATCATATTGATGTATATTTATCACACACAAACATATATATTTATAGCCATACACATACATAACACACATATAGACATGCTATATACATACTGTATTTCCCCAGATGTAAGTCCTACCCAAAAATAAGCCCTAGCTTGATTTTTGGGGGGTGGGCCTAATATAAGACCTATCCCAAAAATAGGCCCTAGTTTTGGGCAGAAGCTCATGCTAAAAATCAAGCTTGGGTGAGTATGAGGGGTGGAGCTGCCCCATATGCCCCACACCCACTTACCGTTGCAACCTGCTTCTCCAAGTCTACCCATTTCTTCTGCAGTGTCTCCTGGCCAGCATTTCACAGTTAGAGGCCTTTCCGGAAGCTATGGATTCAATCTGTAGTTCAGTTCTCGGTTGCAGAGCTGACAACGAAATGCAGGCCAGAGTTCCATTCTCAGCTACAGAATGAAGCTGTTTCTTTGGCCACAAAAGAAATGGACCAGCTGGGCTGTTGGTGCCGCTGCCACAAGGTGAGTGGAAAAGACAGACACACACCCAAAAATAAGACCTAGTGATAAGACAACCCCCCCCCTGCCTGACGATTCCGACCCAATTAGGATCATGTGGAGTGTGGAACAGCTTTGGGAGCGGCGATGTGCGGATGGAGAATCCAAGGGGAAAGGAGAGGAACGAACCCCGGCGAGAGGACACATGGGGGGATTATGCTGGCGATGGTCCGACGATTGGCCTGCTGCATCCCACAATACCAACGTTAACAGACCTAAGTGAACCGCAGGTTGCTCGTATACAAATGGGGGGTGTCGGAAAGATGAGGGGGGTGGAGGATGAGCGTGATGGTGCCCAGGGAGACCAGAGTCCCTCCCCCCACCCGGATGGTAGTGTGTGGAGGAGAGACAGCAAGAAGGGGGTGGGGAGAGGATTGACAACCACGCAGGGATGCATCCACGGAACTCATGATGTTGACGAACTGTCTGCCAAACCACCCCACCTCACAACTATGACCCAAATAGATCTGAACGGTGCACAGGATCACTGTAGTAACAACAATGGACGAGTGGGGGGTATTAGAGAAAGAAAGGACACCCATAGAGATGATAGCTGTGTGGATGTGGATTGGGGGGGAAAGAGAAAGAGAGAATATAAATCAGCTAGAAATCCCGGGCGAGAAAAAGAAAAAGAGGATGAGAACACTCAAGGGGACACCTACCCCAGAACCCAACGAAAGGAAGACAAGTAATATCGCACATACGGATAAGTTGCGAAGGAAGAAAAGGATCACCGGAGCGCAATCTACTCAATTAGGTCCGGTGACGAGATCGAAGAGCTGGGCGCAGACCTTAACTGACCTATAAAGGGACTTCCTCACTTCCTACTGTTCTTAGCCCTGATGATGCCGGCAGGTGATGCTCATTTTATTTTATATATATATATATATATATATATATATATAAAATATATATTACCTTGAATGTACACCCTGTCAGCCCAAATATGGGAGAAAGAAATCTTCTTTCTTTTTCTTTTTCTTTATATATATAGGCCCTGTTAGCAATCATATATATATATGATTGCTAACAAAGAATTAACGGAGAATGGAATAGCTATTTCGAGCTAATTATCTCTCATCAGCCAAACATACCCTTCTGAGATTCGAACCTGGGCTGCTTGCACTTTAGGCAGCTGTGTTAACCTCTAGGCCACAGGCTCTTTTTCACTTTGTCAGCTGTGTCAGGGAGGGAAGAGACAGGGTAGGAAAACTACATACATACATACATACATGCATGCATACATACATACATATATATGATGTTGCAGTTGCGACTACTGCCTGTGGATGGCTCTAGATTGAGCTGGTACAGGCAAAAGATTTCTTTCTCCCATATTTGGGCCGACAGGGTGCATAAAAAAACAAAAAAACAAAAAACACTCAAGGTTATTCTCCTCCCCTGTCTCTTTCCTCCCTGACACAGCTGACAAAGTGAGAAAGAGCCTGGGGCCTAGAGGTTAACACAGCTGCCTAAAATGCAAGCAGCCCAGGTTCGAATCTCAGAAGGGTATGTTTGGCTGATGAGAGCTAATTAGCTCTAAATAGCTATTCCATTCTCCCTTAATTCTTTGTTAGCAATCCAAATTTTTTTTTATTGAGAATTTTTAAAAGTTTTTACAAATAACAAAAAAAGAACAATAAAAAACAAAAAAAACAACCCTCACCCAACCCCTCCCAAACCACCCCCTCCATCCCCCCCCCTGAGCTTCCCAGAGCTGAATATAGGCTTAATTAAAATTTTAAAAAACCTAAACAAGTTTTAACAACTTATAAAATAGTTAATAATAAAATATAAGTGACATAAACATTAAAAAGAAAAAAATACTTAAAAAGGAAAAAAGAAAAGAAGAAAGAAAGAAAGAGGAAGAAAAATAGGAAAAAGAAAAAAAAGAAAAAAAGAGAAAACAATCCATAAAATATCAAAAATTATATACAAGTTATAAAAAAGCTAAATGATATTTTTTATATCCAATTTATGTTGTATAAAATTTATCCATTTTTCCCATACAACAAAAAATTTCTCTTGCGATCGCTCCTTTAAAAAAGCCGAAATCTTTGCCATCATTAGCAATCCAAATTTTATAACATATATTCATATATATTTATATTTATAACATATTTATAACATATAACATTTATAACATGTTCATATATATATATATATATGAATATTAAAAACAAAACGGTGATTCCTGGATAGACTCATGTTAAATAATAAAATATACGAACACCAGGAAGTTACAAACTATAAATAGTTTTAGTAGAATAAAACCAGAATAAAACCAAGCTTTCTCTGGCTTCTGCCAGCATCATCAGGGTAGCGTCCAATCGATGGGAGAAGCTATTTATAAATGTGGCTCTCTTTGCGCCCAGCTTCTTGACGTCATCATGGGTCCCAGCCAATCCACCTGCGTTTTGATCGTAGTTTCTGTATTGCAAGCTGTAATTTCCTCACTTTCCTTGCTTGTGCCGATACCACAGCTCTTCCTCTCTTCTTTGTATGACTGTAAGTCGGGGGAACTCTTTAATTCTACATAGTTAAATGTGCACTGTCTGTGTTTATGTTGTTTATTCCCCTCATCCTCCCTCTTAGTACTCCCTATTTCCATTCTCCTCCCCGTTTCTCTGTTTACGATCCTCCTTCACAACTATATCCTCATTGTTCGTCTCTGTAGCCCAGGATTCCATTGTGTTTGTATCATGCTGTTTCCCGATCTTTCGTATCGCTTTGTTAACTCCCCTTTCTATTTTCTCTTCAACGGGGGTGATTTTAACATCCTCCCCGGAATTTGTGGCACCCACAAGTTGATTGTTAACCCCTTCTCCTGAGGGGACTGTCCCCTCACTGTTGTTTATACATTCACTCATTACTTGGGGGTATGCAATCCTCCTTAAAGGTGGAGAGGCAGGGTCCTTGCGATCATGATTTGCATCTCCTTGTACATTCCTACGGGAGGTCGTTCCTCTCAAATGTCTGTGGGAGCGTGTGGAGGCTCTAAGATTATAACAAACAGCCTCCTCATCTTCCCGAACTATATATATTCAGATTTCTTTTTGCTGACAAGAGTTAAAGATTTAAGTGGGAGACTAATATAGATATTTCAGAGTCCAAAATAACTATACTAGTCTCCCACTTAAATCTTTAACTCTTGTCAGCAAAAAGAAATCTGAATTTGTAATGTATCGCAGTAGCGACTTGAGCCTGCTTAAAGCCCCTAGTTGGAGGGCTGCAAGGCAAAAGAGATTATAAAAAGTAGAACTGCAGTATAGCAGTCAAAAATGCCAAAGGTGCAATCAATCAGACTGTCTGTCTGAAAAACTTTATGTATGTATGTATGTGTGTATATATATATATGCATATGCATGCCCGGGATTCGCATTTTTGCAGTTATCAAAGATGTGTGTGTGTGTGTGTGTGTGTGTGTGTGTGTGTGTGTGTATGTGATGTATATACACATCAGTCCATTTTGAATACATAGTGGAAAAAAAGAGTCTTGAGAGTTAACAAGGTTGATACTATATGGTGTAATGCAGGGGTGTCAAACTCGCAACATCACGTGACGTGTCACAACATATCATGACTTTTTGTCCATTGCAGGCAATGGAGTGGGTATGGTTTCAGCATGACATATCCGGCAGTTTGACACCCCTGGTGTAAAGCTATTACAGAATCTAGTTATTCTGCTTCAGATATTGCAAAGTCTCATCCCAGAAGGCAACAAAGAAAACTGGTCATGGAGAGGATGTATAGTGTCCCAGACAATATTGCGGAATCTGCTCAAGCATTGCTTATATGCTATGTCCTGGATAGAAGGAAGTGACCTACCAAAGCAGCTAGACTGCTTTGACCTGGCCTAGAGAGCATGCCCAATGGTCACTCTCCTTGATATGATAATGTTGCAGGCAGCCGTGTTCACAGACAGTCCTACCCCCATTGCCTTTGCTTCAATGATGCTGAATTTCCCTGGCATAAATATTATTCTCCCTTACCTGGGAGGGGTGATTCCCTTAGAAGCAACAAACTGAAACCTTTAAAGTATTTTTGTGCATTTTAGGAAGAAATTAAATAATTTCTTATTTAATAAGAAAACAGCTGGCAGTAGAAATGGGTGATGGGGAGAAAACTGCCAGGGACATAGGACAGAGTGGTGAGCAAGGGTGAAACACCCTCCTTGGCGTTTAGTTTTTAACATTCTCTGTCTTGGACATAAAGATGACACTGGTGCTCAATCAGAAATTGAAAGTTAAGACTCCACTGATGTCTTCTCAGGGAAAATCAAGAGGATCTCCCCTTTTGTGTCATTTCCTGACACCCTTTGACTGGGAGTGGGCATGCTTAATAAACATGTGTGGATGAATAATTAAAATAATAGCTAATTTGGCCATTATATGGGAGATTATTATAGGCCAATTTACATTTTGCCAAATATTAAAATTAAATACTTTTGGATGTCCTGGAGTAATACTGTAGGTCCAATACCACCAAATATTCAGAGTGTAGTATCAAACCTCATCCAAAAATAAGACTATTTACAGTTCCCACCAAAACTAGCTGCAGACAACTTTTTAATAGAAGGAGAAAAGCCCTTTACTGTTTCATCACATGATAGCATCATTTGCAAACCAAATAATAAATATAACTCCAAGATATTTTTATTAAATTATTTTTTCATTAGGCATCTGTATCGTGATTCATAAAGCCAGGTCTGTGTACACAGTCCCCCACAACATTAAAAGAAGACAAGGCATGGATCCATACATGCCCATAGTCCAATTTAAGATTGAGAAAGTTTGCTTGGAACTGGATTCACCTCTATTCCACTGTATCTCTTCCAAAGACTCAGGTCAGCAGAAGGAGGGGAGGGGAATACTAGGGAGAACCTACGGGCTCTCTGTAGTGATCCACTCTGATGAATGTGGATGCTGCAGAAGGTATTAGAGGATTGGCAATTTGGGCATTTGCTGCAGGCAGGCCCTGATTCCCATAAGGTGGATTGTGCCCTTTGGAAGAATTACCTCTCTACTCCATAAATAAACATGTGATAGAAATCTGAATTTGGGTGGGTTTTATTTCTGATGGAAAGGTTTTTTTTTTCGTGTAGCTGTAATCAAGAAGCAAAGGGATTTCTCTATTATATTTTATTATGACCTATATAAATGACATCAAGTTCATTTAAATGTATAGAAAATATCATATAGAAAATATAAAAGATTACATGTATATAAACAATAACTCAATACAATATTTAGATTCACTCCTAAATATGTGCATTTCTGAAGTTTCTGAAACCTCTATGGTTGCCTTTAAAATTCTGTTTCAAAGCAGCAGCAGATAATGAATGTTAAGAAATCCTTGTACCATTTATGTATTCAGAGTCACAGAAAACCAGCCAACTTCAGTCAAGCCCCAACTTGTTTCTAATAACTTTTACACAAAGCAGAATATAAATTGTGCAAAGTGTCAGCCAGATGATCTGCAGCTCAGACAACAGTTCTTCTGCCAGCCTCTTTCCTACATTTTGGACATAGTCCTCTCTTTTTGTTTTTGTTTAAAAAAAAAAAACCTCATGTAATGTGCATTGGAATAATTTACAGATAATCATTTTCTTGGTGTATATTACTATATATTGATATAAAAATAAGATGTGCCCTTTATTACTTCAAATGATTTACAATTACAAAAATCACTATGGTTCATTTTGTTTATTTACTTCTTGCTAGGAGAGACATGTAAAGTTTGGCATCACACACAAAGAATTAAGTAGACTTCTCAGCTTGCAAAGCAAATGGAATATAAATTTTCATCCACTAATCAGCTTGATTCTTTCAACAAGAGGATGGATTTGCCTAATTTCTAATACTGATTTCATTATTCAGGCAAATAATATCAATTACATATTGTTCTTGTATCGAAAATGCTCATTTTCAGTTAATCTGACTGAACAAAGCAATTCACAAGGATAGTTAGTCTTTATTTTAGGCTAAGAGTCCAATTTACTGGGAGAAAATCTCCTGTGCAAACTTTGTTCAAATAAATAAGAGCTGTGTAAGCATCCTTGCACAACAATTGTCCTTGCACATCACTACCTTTATATTTTTTTAAAAAATGTATTCAGATTTCTTTTTTGCTGACGAGTTAAAGATTTAAGTTGGGAGACTAGTATAGCTATTTCAGACTCATTTGTCCTCTTCAGCTAACCACACCCTTTGTGGGATTCAAACCAGGGCAGTCTACATGCTAGGCAGTGTATTAACCACCAGGCCACCGGCTCTCCTCCTGTCTTTGTCAGCCGAGTCAAGGGAGTATATACAGAAAGTTTTTCAGACAGACCGGTCTGATTGATTGCACCTTGGCATTTTGACTGCTATACTGCAGTTCTACTTTTTTTTTATAACCTCTTTTGCCTTTTGGAAAGTTTTGTCTGAAAAACTTTCTGTATATACTCCCTTGACTCGGCTGACAAAGACAGGAGGAGAGCTGGTGGCCTGGTGGTTAATACACTGCCTAGCATGTAGACTTCCCTGGTTCGAATCCCATAAAGGGTGTGGCGAGCTGAAGAGGACAAATGAGTCCAAAATAGCTATACTAGTTTCCCACTTAAATCTTTAACTCTTGTCAGCAAAAAAGAAATGTGAATTTGTAGTGTATCGCAGTTGCGACTTGAGCCTGCTTAATGCCCCTAGTTGGGGGGGCTGCAAGGCAAAAGAGATTATAATAAAAAAAAAGTAGAACTGCAGTATAGCAGTCAAAATGCCAAGGTGCAATCAATCAGATCGGTCTGTCTGAAAAACTTTCTGTATATATGTGGTCTGAACCAAAAATAGCTGTAATCCTGGGAATGGGTATGTATTTGTTATGTATAGCATATATTTGTTCTGTGATTCTTTTACGACTTGCATTGTATGAGCAGTGATAAATTTATCATACAAATATTTTGACAAATTTATAAAATCTTAAAATTCAGTGTCAAATACTTATTTTAGATCTATTTAAACATTGCTTGTTTTGTGATTTTACATTGTAATAAAAAATAATTTCTGCTTTACAGAGGGTTAGACATTTCAAAAATTAATTCAGGTAAATTAAATACAGAAGTTCCATATCTTTAAAACAGAAAACAAAAGGATTTTCTATGGAGTTGATTTAGAGAGACACTCCTTCATTGGCCTCTTTAAAATATTTTGCCCTTTTTGCAATGGAACAGGAATAAGTCATTGAATCATAGAATAACAGAGTTGGAAGGGACCTTGGAGGTCTTTTAGTCCAACCCACTGCTCAAGCAGGAGACCCTATATTATTTCAAACAAATGTCTGTCCAGTCTCTTTTGAAAGCCTCCAGTGATGAAACACCCACAACTTCTGAAAGGAAGTTATTCCACTGATTGATCACTCTCACCATTAGTAAATTTCTTCTTAGTTCTAGGTTGCTTCTCGGTTAGTTTCCCTCCATTGTTTCTTGTCTTGCCTTTGGAAAATAGTTTGATCCCCTTGTAGGAGCCCCTCAAATATTGGAACATTGCTATCATGTCTCCCCTAGTCCTTCTTTTCTCTAGACTAGACATTCCCAATTCCTGCAACTGTTCTTCATATGTTTTAGCCTCCATCCTGCTAATCATGTTGCTGGTTGCTCTTCTCTGTACTTTTTCCGTAGTCTCAATGCCTTTTTTATATTGTGGTGACCAGAACTGGATGCAGTATTCCAAGTGTGACCTTACTAAATTCAGTACTAGAACTTCATGTGATCTTGATTCTATCCCTCTGTTAATGTAGCCTAAGGTTGCATTGACTTTTTTGGCTGCTGCAAAGGAAGTTCATATAGAGATATAGATCTAAAGTCTGCTGGGTCCCTCTACAACAACGGAATGGAAACACCAAACTAATCAAGTTCTTGGTAATTTTTTTTGCTCAAGAATCAGCTCCATTGGTGCCTCAATTTGAGCAGCTGGGCTGATTTATTTTCCACTCAGCTTTAGTCAATCTCAGTTGCTCTAATGCTGATTTTTCCCTTTTGAAGCATCAAAACACTCTGATTTTTTTTCTTGGATCAAGCCAGATCTCTCACTATTTACCTGCTATCACATTGTGCTCAGAAACTATTACTTCACAGGTCTTTGGAGGCTTTGCAGTTCCCCACACAGCAAACTGTCAGTTTTTTGAGAAACCACCAGAGGAATTCACAGAAGGAGAAGTAAAAACATGGAGATGTGGGCACTGATTGAATAGTTTTTGCACCTTCTTATTGGTCAATAGAAGGAAGTATGGAGCAGTTTGAATTTGGCAGCTAGGCCAATGCCTGTGGATCTTAGTCAAACTACTTTTGAAGGTTTGGGGAAGGGAACTGCAATTGTTCCTTTTGGCCTCCTTTTATGCCCTACAGCAGGGGTGTCAAACTCGCAACATCACATGATGTGTCACGATGTATTGCGACTTTTTTCCATTGTCAGCAATGGCGTTGGCACGGTTTCGCTATGATGCATCCGGCCTACGGGCCGGCAGTTTGACACCCCTGCCCTACAGTGTCTCCTGCTTCTTGAATAATTGGGATAAAAAGGAAAGACACATTACTTTTGATAAAGCAGAATGGCCATAGCAACATTAAGAGACCCCTTGGCTCATTATCTGACATAACTGCATCTGATCAAGCATAGCTGGATACATGGCTACATTGTTGAAATGAAGCTCATAAAGCTCCTTCTCCTGGAAGGTCTGCTCCACTTCCCTCTGAGCAGAGTGGATGGCGAGATTTCAGCTGATGAAGGCAGTGAAAGAAGCTAAGGACAGGAAGCAATTCTAGGGAATTATATAAATCGGCAATATGTATGGTTTTGTAGATATATATTTCCTTCATCCAGACTGTGCCAAATTTTCAAGCAGAAGTTAGAAAACCTTTGGATAAAAATAAATCTATCATCTTACTTTGGGTTACAGAGTATCACTGAATATCGTATCTGCATTTTCAGGCTCCAGCTGCTTCAAGGTATCCTGGAAAAAAAGTACATTATTGCTTCTTAATGAAAAAGCCACAGTTTTCTGACCTTGTTTAGCATGTTGTATTATTTTTAATCAATCTTTCCCTTATCTGACAACAGCTATTCAAACCCAGCAGTCTATGGGAATCAATATGCACAGATACCCTGCTCACTTACCACTCCATGTTGAGTCTAGCAGCAATTAGGGGTGGATTATAATTATACTCAATTTGCAGATTGAAATATGGAAATCACAGAAGGATAAGCAACTTGCCCTGAGGGCGTATGGCAAAATGGATTAAATAAGATCCTAGAATTCTCTTGATGCAGTTGTAGGTGCCCATGCTCCCATGTCATTCACTAAAAACTGTTGAGAGTTGTCAGATAACCAGATTCTCCTCTGATTTTCACCAAAAAGGGCATGTTAAACTCTCCAAAATGGGAAAAAGTAAAAAAAAAAAGAATCTGATCCATCTTTTTAGTGATGTCATAGCATCACGGTTATGTTTTATGCAGTTCTCAAACATCAACAAACTTATTTTTTAAAAAAAAACTAAATCCATAGAAAAGTTACCCATCCTCTGTTATTATCACCAAATGCCATGTCAGCCTCCCCCAAGGACTCTGAATCATGTTGTTCCAATTCTGCCTTGCTTGTGTTTCTATTACAAAAATTACTATTACATTACCTAATATTATTTTTTTCTTCCTTTCAGTCATGTCCCATTCTCAGAAACTGACTTCCTTTCAGTCATGCCCCTGCAGATTACTTGGCAAGTTTTCAGAAGCGATTTGCAGTTGCCTCCTTCCAAAGGATGAGAGAAAGTGACTGATCCAAGGTCCCAGCTGACTTTGTGACCAAGATGGAATAGTATTCATGGTCTTCCAGTTTCTAGTTTGATGCATTAAGACTGCACCAAATTGTAATTGCACTACTAGAATCATTTCTTAGTCATAAGAAGTTTACTCTGCCTGAAACCTGTTTTTCTCTGGAATTATGTGGCTGTTATCTTTGTGGTTAAAAAAGGCTGTAGACCATTTGAAAGAGGACATCACCAAGTATGGTTAGGATTATGGAAAAAAGTTTTATGAGCAAAGCTTAAAGAAACTTTTTAGCTTAGAAAAAAGTTTGCCCTTTCTAGCACTACCACACCAAAGAGGGCAAACATTTTTTTTTTCTTGGCTGAGGAAGCATGTTCTAATGGGCTTCAATTACAAGAGATGGACTTTGGTTGAAAACTAGGAAAAACAGAAGAAGTCATTCCTTACAGGCTTTGACAGAGATTCTTAAAGAAAAACTGGATAGCCATCTATTGGGAATGCTCTATCTTGAAGCTTCCTGGATTTCAAGAGAAAATGGCTGACAAGTAATTTTACGACAGATGCTTTTACACTTATAGGGTTAACTCACCAGTGACGTGGCTTTGGCAAAGTTCAGGTAAGCATACAGCATGACGGCAATGTCATTCTGGCCTGCTTCTAGTGCGATGGAGAGAGCTGTGCTGCCATCCTACAGAAGAAGGCAAGAAGATAGACTTAAGGCTGCAGTAATGGTGGGGCTTATGGGGATCACTGTTTTTGTCAATTATTTTGTCCTTATTTTGGTGGCCCACCCACCTCCTGGAATTGCAGGAAATGCTACCTGGGACTGAGCCATCTAGATCTTTGAATTGTTAATACAGGGTAATGGTCCAGATATGGCCATCAGAGAGACCAGGTTCTCTGCAGATTACTTGGCAAGTTTTCAGAAGCGATTTGCAACCAACTACTATAGTTGGTTGACTCCAAGCCAATCATGTCCTCTCACTCGATCTACTTTACAAAATTGTGATTGTAAAATTAGGAAGTACCCCTAATGTATGCCATCTTGAGCTCCCTGACAATAGATTATCATCCCCTCTACCCTCTGCATGTAATGACAAACAATTGCCTGACATTGTGCTGTCGGCAATGTGCACATAATACTCATTTTCTGATCAGCTACACAATACTCATTTTTCAATCACATACTTAAATAATAGGAAAACTATGGTAAATTATAGCAGAAGGCTCAGTCAAACATAGGATCAAGGAGGTTGGTGTGTGTGTGGAATGTTAGAGTAGAATTATTTGAATTTAACTGTCTAATGTGGAAGGACATAATGTCTTGATGATATTATTCCCAATATGCCCTGCCTCCTCTCTTTCTTTCCTAAGATTGAGCTGCAGTTACTCAATGATGAGAAATAATTACTAATTGTTTCAAATAGTCCAGTACTAAACTTTGGTACTAAGTATGACTCATTATTTTCCTGGTGAAGTGAATGAAATTTATTGTGCAGAGTTTTTGCTATGAGCTCTGAGATGGAAGACAACCTAACAAACTCAACAACGGCAGCATAAACATAAGCAGGATTTACATTGTCTGATTGGGCAACATCACACCCAGGGGTAGCCAACAGCAGGCGGACAATCTCAGCATGGCCGTGTTCACAGGCACACATCAGTGCAGTAGAGCCATCATCATCTTGCAAGTTGACATCTGCAGCACTTGCTAACAAGGCACGGACCATCTCGAGACGTCCATGGCTGACAGCTAACATCAATGCAGTCTGCCCAGCCTGTAGGAGTGTTGAAGGAAAACGAAGGAGTTAAGGGGTTGCCAAATTCAGAGTAGGGAAAAACCTGTTGCAATGCCTAGCTCTTAAAAACTGAAATATTGAAGAAGCACAAACTTTGTTAAGATTCTGTATATCTACTGCAGCCAGTTAATAGCATTTTAAAAGATTTTGAACAATTTCCATGCACTTATGTGAGAGTATGATTACTACTTCCTGGTTGTCACCATCATTCTCATCCTCATCGTGGCCCCCCAATTTTGCAAGAATCTCTTGGGACTGTTAGTACCTGACTGGCTTTGGCATTCACATTGCCCTTTTTCAGTAGCTGCACAATAGTCTCCATGTCACTCTCTGTCTGGGAGGCAGCCAGCGCTGTGAGCATGATGGCTGTATAGCCAGCTTTGTTCTGTTGGTCCACATGACATAAATCTAGAATAGCAAGACAGTATTAGAAATTTCATCCTTCTGGAAATAAATATTTGGATATGGTGGCTTCCACAATTTCAAGTGAGCTGCTGGGAAGCAGTGGTAATTTTTTTTATAATGTCTCTAAGGAAAGAGATATCATAAACAGGGAAGTTACTGGAGAGAGTCCACCATTATCTATCTTCCTTTGGTCAAAAATCTATGAAACCTCTATTTTGAACCCAAACATGGTAAGGACATTTTAAGGAAGATCAAATATGATATTACATTTCACATAGAGAAATATATACCAAACAATTGGTAACAATTGCAAAAAAGTATATGCAAAAAATTATTTAAGTGTGTGGAGAGGTGTAGGTTTTAGGTAGGAATAGTGCCCTCCTGACATAACCCTACATCTTTCCTCTGAGTTTCCCAAATAGTTGGCCTTCTTATAACCATCTTCTAGATATCAATCAATCAGAATAGAGCAGGAAGGGACCTTGGAGGTCTTCTAGTCCAACCCTTTGCTCAAGCAGGAGACTCTATACCATTTTGGATAGGTGGCTGTCACCCCTAGTTCTTCTTTTCTCTAGACCGGCCATATCCAATTCCAGCAAATGTTCTTCATGTTTTAATCTCCAGGCCTTTAATCATCTTAGTTGCTCTTCTTTGCACTTTTTCCCAAAGTCTTAGCATCTTTTTTATAATGTGGTGACCAAAACTGGATGCAGTATTCCTAGCATGGTCTTACTAAGGCTTTACAATGCAGTACTACTACTTCATGTGATTTTGATTCTATGCCTCTGTTTATACAACCAAGGATTGTATTGAGGGGTCTTTGGTGCTCTCTGAGCTTGCTTGTTTTCTTGCAAACATTTCATTACCCTAACTCACGGGTCCCCAACCTATGGTCTGTGCCCCACTGCTGGGCCATGGCCTACTGGCCACTAGGCCATGGGACAAGTTGGCCTGTGCACGCACGCGTGAGCACGCATTCACCCCCACTTATGCTAGAGCCCACAGACTCATTTGTGTATGTGTGCAATGGCTATTACCTGCACACACATGCAAACAGGGTCACTAGCGCGCACAGGTTGCATGTGCAAACAAGGCTGCTAGCCCTGTGTAGGTGTGTACAGCCCCATTCGTGCGCATCTGTGCAAATTTCACAGCTGCTCGCTTTCCCTCCTGGTCGCCAGCATGAAAAGTTTGGTGTCCTCTGCCCTAACTGGATAACATCATCAGTGCTAGTAAGCAGTGCTATTTGCTGTCAGTTTATATTCTGAGTTGCCTGTCTGGGTGGTTCAAGGCAGTCTTAAGGATTTTTTGGTCAGGCTGTTTACTAATGGCTCTTTGGCAGTTCTTGATTGGGGTATTGTTTATTTGATTGTTGGTCTGAAGTTGACCTTGGAGTTAATCTATGCTGATCTGAGTGCTGATTACTGGTGAGGAGGTGGTGGAGTATTTCTCTCTTTTGGGCTAGTTGACATCAGTTTTTTCCCAGTCCTCTGATAGTTCTCCAGTATTGCAGGATTTTTTTAAAGATATGGTACAATGGTTCTGAGATAACATCTGACAGCTCCTTCAGAACTCTGGGATATAATCCATCAGGTCCTGGTGATTTATATTCATCAAGATCAGATAAGTGTTCTCTTACCATTTTCTGGCTTAGTTTAATTTTTATTTCTGTCTTTTACAGCTATGTTTTTGGTAGGTTGGGCTAGTTTCTTTTTGCATGAAAACTAATGCAAAGAATGAGTTAAGCAGCTCTGCTTTCTCTCTACTGCCTGTTACTTTCTTGCCATCTTCTCTCTTTAGCGAACCAATTGTTTCCTTGACTTTTTTTTGTTACTTATATGTTGAAAGAAACTTTTTTAAAAAAATTTTTGATTTTTGTTGCAAGTCTTTATTCATTCTGATCCTTTACTTTCTTGACTTCATATTTGCAGATTCGGGCTATCTGCTGATACTCGAACTTAGTTATGTGTCCCTCTTTCAATTTTTTTACTTATCCTTTTTGTCTTTCAGTTTACCATATTTGGTCAGGGGCATCTTCGTACAAGTAGTCCTGTCAACCTATGACCACAATCAAGCCCAGAATTGTGGACATAATTTGGGGCAGTTTCTGAGTGCATCACCATGTGACTGTGCTCAATTTTATGACCTATTTTGCAGCAGTTGTTAAATGAACACTGCAAGCATTAAACAAATGTCACAGTCATTAAGTGAATGCAGTGGTTGTTAAACAGACCCATTTTCATTAATAGGCATTTTTTCTGGATTTCACTACCTTTAGCGAGATCCATTGTAACTTTGAACAGTCACTAAGCAACCAGTCATTAAGTGAGAATTGCTTGGACTATTTTTGGAAAAATCCTCACTCCTTGCATTAGGCCTAACCCTTTCCTGCCAGAGTCTCAGCCATCCAGCTTCTTACTGATAGACTGGGGTGCTGCTGTGGCCAGAGCATTGGTCTGTGAATTGGGGCATTCAGCCTTAAACATTCACATTGAGTGGTCTTGATGAGTTTCTTTCCCTTCAACCTCTTTTACTTCATAAGGTGATTGTCAGTGCTAAATTCAAGTTTAAATTCCATGGAGGATGGAAGTATGTTGAATGCAAATAAATTCAGGTGCAAGCCTTAATGCAAAACCAGTGCACACCACAGGGTGCCTGCAGAAGGCTCCTTGGTGCACAGCAGGTTTTCTGCATCATTTAATTTTTTAAAAAAACATTCTCCTAATTTAAAACATGAAGAGAAAAGCAAATACATGGTGAGGCAAAATGCCAACCAATTGCTTCATATTTATTTCAAAAGATGTATTTGGATCCAAGACTGCTTCACAGGCTTTTCAGAAGATAAAACTTAGAGAGGTTGAAATGCAGGGTTTGGTTGGAAGTCTGCCAAATCTACCTTGGGTGGGATGGGGGTCAAAATTAAATTAGGAGGGGAGAAACTTTCCTGGGGGGTTTAAAAAGGCATCAGGCAGCAACCTCTGCAAGTTATGTCAATGTCCATGTGGCAACTCTGTCAAATAATCTATGGGAATTATTTTTAAAGTTGGCAAATCATTTTGTCCATGACAACACCCCAACACATTCTCAGAATTCAAACTGTCCTCACCAGCCTAAAGTGGAGCCTGCCTGGCAACTCTTAGGCTCCTCTGGCTTTAAAGTCACCCTAGGCTCTAGAAGCCAAAGTACCCTGGCAAATGGACTGCCCTGGACTAATATTGCTGTTCATTTATGTGGGCTAAGGACTGACAAAGGACTCCCTCCCATTTCTTTTGTCCCCACCTACCAGTTTCAAGCAGCTTTGCAACAAGGGGGAAGTTGGAATGAGAGACTGTATAATGCAAAGCCGTGTTGCCATTAGCATCCGCCATATTGATGATGAATTCTAGCAATTGCGGGGAAACAGCCCGGAAATCCATCAAGTGCAGTGAGATCAACTCTAGGTCGGCTTCTTTGTGGCAGGATAGCTTGAGCCAATAGTGGAGCATTGAGGTATAGGCTATTTTCTGCCAGAGTACATATAAGAAAAAGAAATAACGGGAGGTAGGTAAGAAATTGTTAGGGCCCATTTTTGCTTGCTGTCTTCATGACTGAAACCTTTGTGCTTTTTCAGTATTTCCATTGCTTATTATCTTCTGGCAAATGGGCAAGGTATCAGCAGAGGCCATTTTATCTCTAAATCCACCCCAACTTTAGAAATAAACATATACCGTCTCTCCATCCATTTGTGGATTGGGACTCTCTAAGTATTTCTGAAGAACTGCACAGGCTGAAAGCAATTCCTTGCTGAGACCTAACCTGGTAATCGAAAGAAAGCAAAAAAAAAAAAAAAAAAAAAAAAAAAGAGGGATATTTTAGTTTCCGTCTGCTTCTACATATATTACTAACGCTAGTATTTAGTATTATGTGCCGAAAACTGGTTTTTTGTCTTCTCCTCACTTTTGTTTTTCCCTGGCTACAAGGAAGAGTTAAGCAGGATTCATTTTCACTTCTCATGATTTTGGGATAACTGTGATTTTTAATCCTGCCTTAGGCACAAAGCCAGCTGGGCAACCTTGGGCCAGTTACTCTCTCAGCCCTAGAAAAGGGGCAATGGCAAATCACTTCTGAAAAACTTTGCCAAGAAAACTGCAAAGACTGTCTCTGAAAATCAGACACAATTGAAGAAAAAAAATGTTTATTTTAAAACCAGTCAGCACACTAATTCAGTTTGTGGTCAGCTTGTTTAGTAATTCACTGGAACCTGTGCTGGAACTCTTGTTTGTATATAAGACAATTTAGATAAAGTGGGAGCAGGAGGAAGAAAAGGGAATATATCAACCAAGTTTTTGTTCAAGATTACATAGAGCAATAACCCTAAATCTGATTTAGCATTAAATTAGGAAGTTCCTCTGACAGGGAAAAATAATACAGAGAGACAGAATTTATGGTGAATTGTTGTTTTGTACTAGTTCAGGGTTATAATTCAATGACAGTTGTTCAACAACTGTTACCACCTTTTAAATACAACATATGGAGAGAGCTATTTACCCAAGAAGTAAAGAACTCTGAAACTGTTTCCAGGATTGGGCATTGTGTAAAGCAGGGAAGGATCATTTTGTGATGCTCACATATCCTATTATCAAATAACAATAGTGCAATTTCAACAGGATATTAGGGGGGAGGGCGTTTGGAGTCAGCAGAATATGAAGATAGCTGCAGATCAGCTTTAAATTGCTTTTAAAGATTAATGGTGATATAAAGCACACAGTGCACAGTGCAGACTCTCAGGAGCTCTGAAGATGTCCAAACTGAGGATTACCCAGTTTTGCCTGTTGGTTCCTTGCTGGGACTGTCTGCTGCAGTTATTTTCCCCACCTCGACAGGGACGCCAGGATGTAATGTATCTGTGGTAATTCCAGAAAGCTTCACAGCTTCAGCTACAATTCCCTGCCCAGAAGGGAGGCCCTCATTCGCCTCATGGTATTCACTCTCAGTGCTTTCATTGTCTGAAATGTTCTCAGCTGTGCTGGAGTCCTCAGAGGAGGTAGACTCATACCTGGAACAACACAAGGTTGAGAAACAAGCCAAAAAAAGCCTGAGAAGCTATTCTAGATTCTGTTCAGAACAGAGAGATACTATAGCAAATCCTGGCTGTGTACTTCAGAGTGGAGAAGTTCAGGCTTCCGGTTTTGACATCATGGTGAGAAAGATGGGACTCTGTCTTTTGCGTTTGATTTCGCCCCACTGGGAACCCTGGAAAGAGTTGAAAGTTGCCCTGTAGAGGCAACAAACAAGGAGGGGACCCTTGTTGATTGTGAGAGGGTGACGGCCCTTCTGTTTGATCGGAGGAAGCCCTCCAAACTGGCGGGGGAAAGACTGGCTACATTCATGTAGCTAATCAGAAGCTGCTGACAACACAAGACAAAAAGCATTAACAAGCAACCTTTTAGCAACATGCATGAAACTGGGTGAGACTCTATACTCTCTTTAAGACTTTAAGACCTCTTCCTGGAAAAAGCTGCCCGAAGCACTGTCCTTGATGAGAGAGGGAAAGGGAATTTCTACCACACTCCCTCAGGTAAAGAAAAGTGGCGAATTAATTACTTGGGAGAAACAGAGAAAATTACATTAATTTGGAATTAATATAGATCTATGGCTTTGAAATTTGGGGACTAAAAGTGTTTTTGAGACTTTTTTTTAAAAAAGGAGAGATTTGAAAAGCTTACATTATAAGTTGAGATTTAAAAAGCTGGAAAACAGTGCTAATGACATGTAGTGATGAATTACGGTACTTCAATTTGTTATGCCTAAAAGAAATTTGGCTTGAAGCCCAGATTTAGATAAAACTCTTGCTGACCTTGGAAATTTTCACTTTTGAAGATTGCAGCTGGGAAAAGGATAAAATACAAAAACTTTTGGGCTACTTATCGATGTGGCAGAGACAATGAACTATTTTGAAACTGGCTTGCCTGAACTACGAATATAAATATGACCTGACTTTCAGAGCCGTGTTGTAGAACTATTTCCCTGAAGGACAAATACACTTCATTGCTTGAGATGATTGAATATTTTGGATTACAAATCCTTGATTGATGAACAATTTTTATTATAAAGATCACCTATAAAAAATGAAATGGATGCCCCATACTCAACTTTAAATGGTAAAAAACCATTTCTAACACCTGTTCCCAAAGGCTTCAGTTTGACATATTACCAAGAAAATATGGATGAAGATCAGAAAGAAATTCTCTCCATGCTAAAGAGACTATTGCTTTAGCTCATGATGAGACTAGAAATAACACAAAGGAGATAAAAAAACAATTTTCTAATCTAAATTTACAAACTCAGAACATGACTACAAAGAAGGAACTAGCAATCCATAAAATAGAAGGAAAACTAGAGGAAGCAGATCCAAAGATTGAGGACCTAAAGGAAGAAACCAACCAACAGATCCAGACAACTGAAGAACTAGAAGACAGAGCGACAATATTGGAAATGGAAGAGATATCTTACCAATCAAGAATTCAGGACATATTCAAGGAAAAGGAAGAAGATCTGATTGAATGGAAGATAGAGCTGTTAGGAGAACTGTGGGGAATTGGAGAAGGAGGGAGGCTGTTTAATGAATATCAATAGGTTCGTTCTTCCAAAAATACTTTAACCAAATGGTCTTTCTTATTCCAAACAATATACACAAAAACAGAGGAAAAATTATTTGATGGTTTAAATGCATTCACTTGGAAAGTTAATTGACAAAGGAAGAAAGCTAGAGTAAGGCTGCAGAAAACAGAGGTTTTGATCTATTAGATGGGATATTATATTATTAACTAGATGTTTTAATATGGAGAATAGATAATTGCTAGAAATAGAAATACTATTATAACTAGAAAGATAAGATTTGTAACTAGAATATTAGATTTTGGTATAAGAAGGAAACAGGAAAACACTAAGAAATTTGAATAAGGGAAGCTTTTGGTTACCCAAATATAACTTACTTTGAAATTATAAACAAAAGAGACATTTTGAACACTGATGGGAAATTAAAACTAAAAAAAAAGAAAAAACAGGATACTGATTGAACATATAGATATTAAGTGCAAATGCCATTAAGATATGTTTTGGTTAGAAAACTAATCTAAAACTGATATTATTGATATTATGAGAAAAATGTAACAAAGATGTTGATATTCAATTGTATATTTACTAATAACAATAAGAATTGTATTTGCCTAGTGTGGGAAAACAGGTACTACCGGAAGAAGAGAGGAAACATTTGATGGTGCAATATTGGATCTAGATTAAAGAAGCTAATATATACCACTGAATTACTAATGGACCCAGACAGCACGTTGTCTATTAAGTACTTGATTGTAAAACTAGGAAATTAATAAAATATTTATAAAAAAAAAAGAATGGAGAACTTCAGAGATGCCAGGTGATTTGGGATCTTGCAGGCCACAATGAGACAATGGAAACCTGTCTTGGTACAAATGGCAACTTACAATAAAAGCAGCAAGGGTAACTAGAGCTCCATCCCAGTGATGGATTATGATAGAACTCCTAGGCAAACTCTGACAAAATTGTTCAGTTATTGGGTTTCTTTGAGGTGAAGATGGTATATTGCTTCTCTGAACTCCAAATTAAAGGTTACAGAAGCAACAAAATAGGAGTCCGCGGCTATGGACCTGTATGCCTTTGCTTCCTCAGTTAAGGAATTGAGGAATGAATTTAGGCATTGAGGAATGAATTGGGAACTTCCCATTCTCTTTATAATTCTGAAACTGAGATTTACCCTCCATTGACACCCACAAAGTGGAGGCTTTTCTTCCTAGTTAGTATTTCTGTAGGTTCTTCCTTCTTCTTCATAATTGATGGGATCCCTGCAGTGGATGAAACTGTGGAGAAACAAAGGAAGGTAGTAACATCAATTTGTCAAAGGATTCCATGGCACCTTTCTCCACCCCACTTTCTTACCTTGATCCTCTTCTCCCTTCTGCACATCCAATTTAGGGTCTTCAGAGAGGCAAGGAACTACCTGTTCTCCTTGGAGGGAGTCAAGAAGTGAATATTCAGTTTTCTGCAGGGATTCTTCAGGTTCTGAAATAGGAGAGCGGCAACAGATTACTGCCCCTTGGACGTCTTTTTGATTATGAAGTCTAAATATTGCTGTTTTGTGGGTTCACATTAAGGAATGCAATATTGTTCCATATAATGTATGCAATAGAATACATGGCTTGATTACAACCTGGCCAAGTGCCATATAATAACTTAATATTTCAAGCCTGGAAAACAGGGAACAGATAGTCTTCAACATACAATTACCACTGAGCCCAAAACTTCCATTGCTAAGCAAGACAGTTGTTAAATGGGTTTTGCCCAACTTTACAAGCTTTATTGCCACAATTGTTAAGTGAATCACTGTAGTTGTTTAATTAGTAACAAAGTTGTTAAGTGAATCTGGCTTCCCTATTGACATTGCTTGTCAGCAAGTTGCAAAAGGTGATTACATGGCTCTGGGACACTGCAACTGTCATAAATACATGCGAGTTGACAAGAGTCCGAATTTTGATCAAATGACCACGGGGTTGCTGCAATGGATGTAAGTGTGAAAAATGGTGATAAAGTCGCTTTTTTCAGTGCTGTTGTAACTTCAAATGGTTATTAAACAAATGGTTGTAAGATGAAGGCTACCTTTATGGAGCTTTTGTTTGTACACAAGCAATATTCCTTCATTGTATTAAGCTATGATTTTTTTACCAATATTCACAGTCACAACTCTTCGTTCTTACCAATGGCTGCTGAGGAGCTTGCACAACCACAATCATATAAGGTCAGCAAAATCAGGCTGCTTAGTATCCCATCCAAATACCCTCTGCCATGGGATACTCCCTGCTATTGCCCTTTTTTCAAGACAGTTGGTGCATTTCCAAATTAAACTTGACTGCAGCCACAAGAAAGCTTACAAAGCCCACTAGGGGCCAAGTATTGAAAATCAATCCAGGAGACTGAAGTTTTGCTTAAAGATAGGGCAGTTCTCCTTCCTCCTTTTTTAAAAATTAATTTGCTAACATAAATAATCATTTTAACTGTATCTTGGGGGATGTCAAGGAAAGTATTCATGGACACATTCGCTCAAGCATCATGTTGGAGACCCTGGATGTAATGCTACTTAAGTATATGGTGTTTGTTTTATTTATTGTATTTTACTTACTCATTCAGTCAGGTTCTTGGCCAATTTCTCTCCTTAAAAACCATTCTCTAAATGCATAAGGTTGCTTTGCTGCATAATTTAGGGGTGACATGATAGCAGTATTCCATTATTTGAGGGGCTGCCACAAAGAAGAGGGGGTCAAATTATTCTCCAAAGCAACAGAGGGCAAGACAAGAAACAATGGATGGAAACTAATCAAGGAGAGAAACAATTTGGAATTAAGGAGAAACTTCCTAACAGTGAGGACAATTAACCAGTGGAACAGCTTGCCTTCAGAAGTTGTATGTGTTTCATCACTGGGGGGTTTTAAGAAGAGACTGGACAGCCACCTATCCAAAATGGTATAGGGTCTCCTGCTTGAGCAAAGGGTTGGACTAGAAGACCTCCAAGGTCCCTTCCTGCTCTATTCTGATTGATTGATATCTAGAAGATGGTTATAAAAAGGCCAACTATTTGGGAAACCCAGAGGAAAGATGTAGGGTTATGTCAGGAGGACACTATTCCTACCTTAAACCTACACCTCTCCACACACTTAAATATTTTTTTGCATATACTTTTTTGCAATTGTTACCAATTGTTTGGTATATATTTCTCTATGTGAAATGTAATATCATATTTGATCTCCCTTAAAATGTCCTTACCATGTTTGGGTTCAAAATAGAGGTTTCATAGATTTTTGACCAAAGGAAGATAGATAATGGTGGACTCTCTCCAGTAACTTCCCTGTTTATGATATCTCTTTCCTTAGAGACATTATAAAAAAAATTACCATTGCTTCCCAGCAGCTCACTTGAAATTGTGGAAGCCACCATATCCAAATATTTATTTCCAGAAGGATGAAATTTCTAATACTGTCTTGCTATTCTAGGTTTATTCTGGGAATTTCACACACTATTTTAAAACTGCTTTTTTCTTCTGCTCCTACTGTAAATTGCAGCAAAAAAGTCAATTCCTTCCATGCACGCTTCTTTTAAGATTAGAGCTGTGTGGGAAAATAATTGAATTTTACCATAAATTTGCAGGCCAGGTATTAACATTTTTCCCAGCTTTGACAACAAGGGATTCTGCCATAAATTTTTATCTCTCTAAAGATTATGAAAATCCTGCCAAGCCTTTTGTACTGACTATTTTTAATAGATCCAGATATAAACCAAATTTAATTTAATACAGTGCTATATCATGCGTCATTTTAAACATTATGTATATGAATTGAAAGTATAGTAATTACATATCTTATCTTTTATAAGATAAACTTTTTACAGGATAAGATTCCAATTAAAGGCAATAGATAAGCAAAATATCCACCCCTGCCCCAGAAGTGAGGCAGGCTCCCACTCTCCAGGGCTTTCAGAAGAGTTTGAAGACCTGGCTCTGCTCACTTGCTTGGGACTTGGAGTGGAGTAGCAACCTTGAAGTTGGCTAACTACCTTGAAGGGCCCCCCACTTTTAACTTTAATTTATTCTTGTTTTGCCTGCCTCTTATAGAATAGAATAGAATAGAATAGAATAGAATAGAATAGAATAGAATAGAATAGGAGCTGGAAGGGACCTTGGGGGTCTTCTAGTTCAGCCCCCTGCGCAAGCAGGAGGTCCTATACTATCTAAGTTAGATGATTGTCCAGTCTCTTCTTAAAAACTTCCAGCGATGAAGTGCTCATGATTTCTGGGAGTAAGCTGTTCCATTGGCTGATTGTCCTCACTGTCAGGAAGTTTCTCCTTAATTCCAGGTTGCTTCTCTCCTTGATCAGCTTCCAATCATTGTTTCTTATCCTTCCCTTTGGTGCTCTGGTGAACAACCTGTCCCCCTCTGCCTTGTGGCAGCCCTTCAGATACTGGAACACTGCTATCATGTCTCCCCTATTTCTTCTTTTCTTTAGACTGGTCAAACCCAATTTCTGCAGCCATTCTTCATACGTTTTGTTCTCCAGACCTTTGATCGTCTTAGTTGCTCTTCTCTGAATTTTTTCCAGTCTCTCAACATCTTTCTTGCGGTATGGTGACCAAAATTGGTTGCAGTATTCCAGGTGTGATCTTACTAGGTTTTTATAAAGTGGTACTAATACTTTGTGTGATCTTGATTCTATGCCTCTGTTTATACAACCCAAGACTGTATTAGCTTTTTTGGGTGCTTCTGCACACTGCTGGCTCATAGTTAAGTGATCGTCCACCAGGACTCCAAGGTCCCTCTCATAGTTACTGCCTCCAAGCCAGGTCTTGCCCAATCTGTATTTGTTCCTTTGATTTTTCCTGCCTAAGTGTAAGCCTTTGCTTTTCTCCACATTAAAACTCATTTTGTTGGATAGGGCCCATTGTTCAAGTCTGTCAAGATCTTTTTATAAATATATGATATTTATATGGTTTTTAAATTTTTAATTGTACACTGCTCAGAGTTGCTCTATAAATGGATAAGCAGTCTCTAAATTTGATAATTAAAAGAATAGAATAAAATATTGTAATGCACCCTTGGTTGAGAAAGTGAAGAGAAAGGTGCATTACCTCATGGCAAAATCCTGTTTCCAGTACAGTCTATGGCTGGAACCTGGGCTGTTGGCAAATGAAACAAGGACATGGCTATGTATATTTAAACACTGGCTAAAGATTAATTTTTAACTACAAGTTTTAACTTCTCTTATTTTATTCAGTCTGTCTTTTCAATATTCTGTGCCTACCGAACTGAAGGTAAAATCCATAAATAGGGCTTTATGCAGATGTATTGCTGACACCTGGACAAGAAGAGATCATGGCAACTCTTGAACAAAGAATCCTTGACAAGGAATTGCAAAATGAATACAGTAGAAAACCAGCTGATAGGAAATGGGGCCACAGCAAGACCTGTTGCAAAGTTTACAGTTGTATTATTAATGACAAATTAACTTTAGGCTGATTTTTTACTGTTCAGGTAGTCCTCAAGTTACGACAATTGGGCCCAAAATTCCTGTTGCTAAATGAGACATTTGTTAAGTGAATTTTGCCCCATTTTATGACTTTTCTTGCCAGAGTTGTTAAGTGAATCATTGCATTGGTTAAGTTAGTAACATGATTGTTAAGTGAATCTGGCTTCCCCACTGATTTTGCTTGTCAGAAATTCTCAGAAGCTGATCTCATGACTCCAGGACACTGTGACCGTCATAAACATGAACCAGTTGCCAAGCGTCTGAATTTTGAGATCACATGATCTCAAAATGGGAATGCTGCAATGGCCATGTGAAAAACAGTCATAAGTCATTATTTCAGTGCCATTGTAATTTCAAACTGTCATTAAACGAACTGTTGTAAGTCGAGGACTACCTATACCACATAGCACTAGAGAGTTAAAGCACTTTTATTTTATTTTACTGTTTAGTTAATATTTTTCTTCTTTACTCTTTCATTTCTCTGTCTTATTGTCTTGATATATACAGTATATCTGCAACCGATAATAAAGTAACTGAATATCTTGTCTGGATAAATGAGTTCTGTTCCCCTGAAAGCAAATCAAGGATAGATTACTTTCCTTGTTCCTTACCTCTTGTTTCTTTATTTCCATCCCCATCCTCCTCTGTGTTGACAATGCTGATCTTTTTCACAGAGTGAAAGGTGGTGGCTGTGTTTGCTGCTCCAGCATGAATTGGGAAAGTGGTTTCTATCATCTCACTGCTGTGGTATGTGGCACAAAGTGGTAACTGAACTTTCTCAGAGACTGAATCTTTGTCTGCTGAAGGCCTGAAGCTGGCATAGGGCTCCTTGCTGTCCAGGAGCTGTGCCCTCTGAGGCCCAGTAGCTCTGCTGGCTGCGATGTCTGGCTCCCTTTCCATTTGGACAACTTTGATTGCATCAACCTGAATGGGGGCATTCCACTGCTGTGCACTTTCTCCCATTGCTTCCCATTCTGTCAGGCCCTCATCTCTTGTTGAAGTTTCTTTGTCTTTCTTCTCCCTGCCCTGCTGCTCCAGTTTCTGATGGGCAGCTTGGAGATCTTGGAGTGCTCTCTTCAGTTGTGTTTCTAACACAGCAATCTTGGTGGATAGGGACTGAATAACTTGGCATTGCTCCTCCACTTCTGGGCAATGTAAGCCCAACTCCTCCTCCTTGACTGCTACCCCTACGTCACATCTTCCCACATCCACATTCTCTTCTCCATCTTCAACTGTCCTTCCCACGCCCACTGACCTCACTTCTTTCTTACCCAATTTATCCTTTATGTCAGATCTGGTACTGCTGTCCTCTATATTTCCACCTGCCCCCTCTTCAGGGATGTCTATGTAGAGCTCCCCTCGTGATTTGCCCTTGCTAAATCCTCCTGAGTGCCCCAAGAACTTCTGGCTTTTAAGCTGAACACTTAGCTGCCGTTTCTCTTCCTGTAGCACTGAGATCTTCACCTGAAGGACAGGGATCATCTTGACCTGTTCTTCCAATTGGCGCAACTTCTTCAAGGCCACAGACATCTGCTCACGAACATATTGAAGATGTCCTGGAGTTGGTGAGACTGGAGTGGACAACCCAGAACCAATTGGTGTGAATTGTCCAGGAACACCTTGCCGTGAGCCATTGTAAGAAGTTTGATGTGAGATACACTGGCTTCCAACCAAAGAACTTGTTGATCCAGATACACTGCTATGGAGACTTCCTAGACTACTTGCTGTGGGGGTTTTCCCATCTAGATCTGCCTGATCTTCTAACTTCTTTCTAGCATCCAGCAAAGTTTTCTCCACACGGGCATTGAAACTGCTGTGAATTGCATTAGTGTACTGTGGGTAGAAGCTACGGCCACAATAAGAATAGGAGGAATGGCGACTGTCCATACTGGCATTGGAACAGAGGGACTCGGTGGATGTCCACCATGAACCAGTGTAGCCATAGCCCCGAGGCAATGAGCTGTAGCGCGGTCGGCGATGAACTGGAATGCGCTTAATAGTGTGGCCTTTCTCAATGTCATCCACATACTTGAGAAAGTCCAGATCAAGGCGATAGCCATAAGGAGTCTCCACTGAGTAAGTTAAGTCTTGCTCCTTCCCATGGAAGATTGTAGTAGAGGTGGGATTGACCTTTCCTTCAAAACACAAAAGAGATAGATCAGTTTAGAACACTTTTCGATCAGGGTTGAGGATGTATATGAAAGGACTGACCACTGGGATCACCATCACTTAGTTGAATAATGACTGTTTTGCATATCATTGCATATATTGGCTGATCTCAGTATAGATAGAGGTAGTCATAGACCTAGCTGCAATCGTCTCCTACTTCCATTCTGTGAGAGAGAAAAATTAGCTTAGAACCCACTGTATTTTTTAAAATGCCTATTGCATCAAAATAGCTCCCCTCAAATAAGGGGGGACTAGTTTAAATCAAATAGAGTACTTGTAATCAGTAAATAGGAACTCTACATTTTTCCCAATTTTGCATTATTTGGATCTGACGGCCAAACCAGCAAGCCTCATTGGTTGATTGATCGACTGATCAATGTAGCAAAGCTACATCATAAAGAGTTCAATGTTCACTCTGGCAAGCCAAAACCTCCATTTTCCTTAGCATTTCTTGTAGCATTTTCAATTTAATTCTAGCTTTTATATTATCAAGCATCTATATTAACATGGGTAAAAGAATGGATAACTCTCAGAAACAAAAGGTTGTTGTATTTGGAGGGATATGACTCACAACTTGGTTGGCATGCCTTTTTATGGTATGGGAAAAATAAAATGCATAAGTACTTTCAGAACCACTATATAAGAAACATATTACTATTAACATGGGAAAAAATAAAATGTAACATATATTTGAAAATACCAGGATAGCTTTCAACAACAGAAACATTTATACATCCAAATTTAGTTAACTTTGAGAAAATATGGACATATAGAAATATTCTAAATTCTGAAGGGAATTTAAAATCTAAGCAAGAGTTGGAAAATAAGGGTGTAGATTTATCATGGTGGACACACTTATTAATGCAAGTTAGATATGATAAAGATGTCAAACTGTATGGATTTTATAAAGAGCAGACTTTGTTTAATCAGACATTATTAACCTCTGATGAGAAACTAATTAAGAAAATTTATAAATTTTTATTGAATTTGAAAATGGAAGATGAACAAGTTAAAGAAAAAATGATAACATGGACAAAGAACTTTGGATATAACATAGAATTAGAAAAATGGCAAAACTTGTGGGAAAGAAATTATAAACTGACAATGGCAGCTTCTTATGAAGAAAATTTATATAAAATGTTCTATAGATGGCACTTGCCACCAGCAAGATTGGCAAAAATGTTTTAAAATATGTCAGATAGATGTTGGAAATGTAAATATAAGTCAGGTACTTATTATCATGTATGGTGGACATGTGTTGAAGCAAAGAGGTACTGGAAAAATATATATTTGGCTAGAAAAGATGTTGGGAAAAGATGTAGATTTTAAACCTGAACTTTTTTTATTAGGTATTATGCCAGAAAAGATTGATAAACAAAGTATATATTTGATTTTACATGTGATAACAATGGCAAGAATCATATTTGCACAATATTGGAAAAAGGAAGAATTACCATCAAAAGAATAAATAATTAAAAAAATATTAGAATGCGCTGAAATGGACAGACTTACTATGAGGTTGAAAGAAAAAGAAGAAATAGTGGCTTCCGGTTTGTTACGCAGCCACCATAGACAGCTGGGAGATTTGCTCTCTCTCCCCCGTTCAATTTCGCATCACTGGGGGGCCCTGAAAAGGACCAAAAGTCGCCCCAAAGAGGTGACCAGCAAGGAGGGGCTTTTGCTGGATCGCGGGAGAACAACTTTCCCATTAGAGATGGCGATCCCTCCAAACCGGTGGACAAAAAGACCAGCCATAGAAATATGGCTCGTCCCTAGGCTGCTAACAGCCAAAGTCGCATTTACCATCTGGCAACTTTAAAGCAGCATGGAAGAGACTGGGTGAGATCTGCCTCGCTTACATCCTAATTACTTAATTATTTGCATAAGCTGCTAAAGTACTTTCTCCCCTGTGGTGAGGGAAGGGGGATTTTAGCCCTCCCTCCAGAAATAGCAGTGATTAACCTCTCAAGAGCTTAAAACATTTAAAAAAAAATACTGGGATCCTAATTGGAATTCTATTTCCTAAAATTGATGGATTATAAGACTTGTAACTTTCTACTCTTTATTTTTTCTTTCTGATTTTTATTCTAACTATTATTGAAGATTTGGGGTTTCCCCCCCCCTTAAGATAGAGGGGAGGGGGGAAACTGAAAAGATCCAACTAACTCTGAGATGTAGCTAAATTTGAGACTGTAACCTGCTATTCTTTAAGAGACACTTGTTGACAGCTTAGAAAATAGATAAGATATAAAGCAACCTTGAAGCACCAGCTGCAAGAAACTCAGCTCAGCTCCTCACTTGGTGGACTTTCTGACTGTAAGTTTTTTTTAGCTTAATATGCTGCAATGGAAGAAGAACAGAAATGGATTTCTCCTACAGAGGAAGAACAGGAACAAATTCTTTGTCTGTTAAAAGCAATTATCCAAACTCTCCGTATAAGTCTGGATATGCAAACTCAAACTATGACTTCAACCAAAGAATCATCTATACATCTATATAGAGAAAGTGAAACAACCAAATGCTATGACAGAAGACTTAGATACTCAACAAATACAGACAATGGAAAACACAAAAAAGAAACTGATAATAGAGAACAAAGAGAGGACTTTTCTTATAAACAAGAAGGAATTTGAAGATAAAAAAGAAAAACAGATGAAAGAGAAGATAAACACTTTGGGACAACTGCATTGAATTGGAAAAACAAAGAGACGACCTGTTAAATCAGCTAGTCCTCTCAAGAAAACATCAACTGGAGCTTTTATCAACATCAAACAATAGCCACAACAATACAAGGAGATCTTTTTGATGATTTAAAAGCAAAGATACGAAAGATGACTTGGCAAAGAAAAAAAGCTAGAATAAGACTGAAAAGGATCGGAGTTTTGATTTACACATGAGATCTAAAATATAATATATCCAAATGGATAGAATATGTATTCTGAACACAAGATATTGTAACAATTTGAGAAAAAGAAAATTTTGATTATATAAAATCTAGAAGTATAAATATTGAAATAAGAATATTATATTGTTTTATTAGTTTGTTAAGATAGATCAGGGGTAGGCAACCCAAAACACTTGGACCCATTTCCCACCAAAAACAAAACACAGGGAGCCACAAAACCCTTTGGATATCTAAAATGAAGATAACACTGCATGTATCCTTTTTTATCTTTATTATATATATATATATATAAGGATATATGCAGTGTTATCTTCATTTTAGATGTCAAAATGGTCTCTCTCTCTCTCTCTCTTTCTGTCCCTCCCTCCCTCTCCCTCTTTCTGCCCTTGGTCTGCCAGTCCTCTGCCCCGTGTGTGTGTGTGTGTGTGTGTGTGTATGTGTGTGTGTGTGTGTGAGAGAGAGAGAGAGAGAGAGGTACTTGTGCTTCCCCCTCTCTTTCTCTTTCCTCTCCCTCTTTCTTTCCTCTCCCTCTTTCCTCTCCCTCTCTCTCTTTCCTCTCCCTCCCTCCCTCTCTTTTTCTCTTTCCTGTCTTTCTTCTCCCTCTTTCTCCTTCCTCTTTCTCCCTCTTTTCTTTCTTTCTCTCTTTCTCTTTCCTCTCTCTCTCCCTTTCTCTTTCCTTTCTTTCTCCCTCTTTCTCTCTTTCCTCTCTTTTATCTTTCTTTCTTTCCTCTTTCTTTCCTTTCTTTCTCCCTCTTCCTCTTTCTTTCCTCTTTCCTTTCTTTCCTCTTTTCCTTTCCTCTCCCGTTCTCTTTTCTCTCTTTCTTCCTCTTTCCTCTTTCTCTCTTTCTCTCCTCTTTCTCTTTCCTCTCCCTCCCTCCCTCCCTTCTCTCTTCTCTCTCTTTCTCTTTCCTCTCTCTCTCCCCCTTTCCTCTCCCTCTCCCTTTCTTTCCTTTCTTTCTCCCTTTCTCTCTTTCTTTCCTCTCTTTCCTTTTTCTTTCTTTCCTCTCTTTCTCCCTTTCTCTCTCTTTATTTCCTCTTTCCTTTCTTTTCTCTCTTTTTGTTTCCTCTCTCTCCCCCTCTCCCTCTTTCTCTTTCTTCTCCCTTTCTCTTTTCTCTTTCTTCCTCTTTCTTTCTTCCCTCTCTCTTTCTCTTTCCTTTTTCTCTCTTTCCTCTCTCTCTCCCTCTCTTTTTCTCTTCACCTCCACCCCCTTTACTAACAGAACCAGTTCACCTACCAAATCATTTAACTTCCTCCCTTAGAGATGGGCAATGTGGATTCACCACATTCTGACAAAGAGAAATGCCAGCACCTCTCACTTAGCATCAATTCTGCTGCAGGGACTGCAAATGCTGTATGTTAGCAATATCTGGAGAGCTACAGTTCATCTGCACCCTCCTGAAAGGCTCTCCCATCCGTTGCAATGTCACGCTTTGAAAGGCCCCTGACCCTCCTCCGCTTCAGGCCAACTGCGCCCAGCAGGGAGCCTCAGTAGCTGGTGAGGAAGGGAGGAGGGGAGGAAGAGAGACAGACCATCTCCTCGTTGCTCGCTTCTAATCCCAATGTGGTGAATCCTGCTTGGGATTTGGGACTGAGAGGGGGAAGATCCTGGCTCCCAAGCCACTGGGACTTCCAACCACAGAGCTTGCTTGGCTCTGTTTCTAGCCAGCGCTGTGTGCGCGTGCAAAACAACAGCCACAAAATGCTGCGGTCGAGACTTGCCTGCCTACCTGCCTGGCTCCTGGGCCTCAGTAGCCAATCATTTGAAGCAAGCAGCCTTGTCCACAAAGAGAGGAGAGGAGAGAGTGAGGGTGGATGAGCTGAGTCTGTGGCAGGGATAACAATGGTTCGGAAGATGCTAGCACGAACATTCCGCATCTTTTGAATTACCTCGCCTTGCCCCCCACTGGTTCTTCACCTGAACAAGTCACCCTCTCTCTCTCTCTCTCTCTCTCTCTTTCTCTCTTTCCTCTGCCTCTCTCTCTCTGTCTCCAAATGAGGAGAGAGAGAGAGAACAAAAGGCAGATGGCACTAAAGGGGCAGGGAGGGGAGGGGGCAGGAGGCAGTAGAAGGCGCTGAAAGGTGCCCGGTACACCACGGACCAGTCCAGGGAGATGCATGGTGAATTCGGCTGTCCAGGGAACGGCCCAGGGACAGCCCAGGAAGTGCTGCCTCCCTGACGCCGCCCCAGCCGGGACTGCCGCCAGCCCAGCCTGGGGAGACACATAGCCAGCTCAGCAGCCCGGGAATGGCCCAGGGAGCGATGTCCCTGCCACTGCCGCCCTAGCCGGGACTGCCACCCGGCCTGGCCTGGGGAGATGCATAGCTGGCTCGGTAGCCCGGGAACGGCCTGGGGAGTAATGCCCCTGCTGCCATCGCTGCCCCAGCTGTGACTGCCACCCAGCCCAGGGAGACATGTGGCTGGCTCGGCAGCCCGGGGATGGCCCAGGAAGCGATGCCCCCGACGCCACCGCCGCAGCCGGGACTATGCCCGGAGTAGCCTGCGGAGATGCATGGCCGGCTTGGCTGCCCAGGGACGACCCATGAAGCGATGCCACCCTGCCGCTGAGCCAACCGGGACTACCGCCCGGTCCAGGGAGATGCGTGGTGAGCTCGGCTGCCCAGGGAACGGCATGGAGATGGCCCAGGAAGCAATGTCCCCAGCCCGGACCGGGGAAACGCGTGGCCGGCTTGGCAACCTGGGGACGGCCCAGGAAGCGATGCCCCTGCCACCACTGCCCCAGCTCGGACTGCTGCTCAGCCCAGCCTGCGGAGATGCATGGCGGCTTGGCTGCCCGGGGATGACCCAGGAAGCGATGCCACTCTTCCGCCAAGCCAACTGGGACTTCCGCCTCTCCTGGCTTGGGGAGACGCATAGCCGGCTCAGTGGCCCGGGGACAGCCCAGGGAGCGATGCCCCGTCACCCCAGCTGGGACTGCCACTCAGCCCAGCCTGGGGAGACGCATAGCCGGCTCGGCGGCCTGGAGACGGTCCAGGGAGCAATGCCCCCGCTGCCACCCCAGCCGGGACTGTCGTCCAGCCTGGGCAGACACGTGGCCGGCTCGGCGGCCTGGGGATGGTCCAGGAAGCGATGCCACCGCCACTGCCCTAGCGGGGACTGCGGCATGGGGGGGCACCAGGAGGGAGGAGGAGGCTCCGGAGCAGCAAGAGATGGCTCAAAGACCATGAGATAGATGGTAGAATTTATATATAAGGTGTGTATTTTAAATATTAGATTGTATGAGTAATTGTTATAAAGGAATTGTGTTTAATTAAAAATTTGGGAAAAAATATTAAACATTAAATCAAAATATTAAGGGAAAATTAACTATCAGGTCACTGATTGGCTAAAAGTTTGAATGTTTAAAAATAACTAAGATTTGAATTTAAGATATTGTTATGAGTTGAGACAAAGGTTAAGTAAAACTCAGAAGTATAAATACTAATAATTAAATTTGTATATTGGTTTGTGGTACAAATACTGACAGTATTATTGTTGTTATTATTATTATATTACTACTACTACTACTTCTACTACTACTACTACTACTACTACTACTACTATTTGGAAAGGAAGGAAGGAAGTAGAAGGAAGAAAAGAAAAAAATTATTAGCCCCAAATATGAGATAGGAGACTTAGAAATTGGGGTCATTTAAAATTTGGAAATGATAAAGATTAAACATTAAATTTAAATATCAATGGGAAATTAAAGTTAAGAAAAACTTACTAGGTTATTGTCTAAAAGATGGAATGTCAAATCAATTAAGTTATATATAGACTGAAGATTATTGATGAATATTAGAAAGGTATTTTTTGTTTGATTGCTAGAATAAGAACTGTATTGGTCTGAATATGAGACAGTAGATATTATGGGGGAAAGAGAGGGAATTAGTTGTAATACTTTGAGATTTGTACTGATGATATTCAAATGTAATGGAATTATGGTGCTCAGCCGCTACGCTAGTTTTCAAATATGTAAATGTAATATTGGAAAATTAATAAAAATTTGGGGGGAAAAAGAAAGAAAAAGAAGAAACAGAATACTATCAGACTTGGGACTTGTTTTATCAATGGCTGGAGAAAAGAATAAAGGATTAGGAATTAAATTTATATTAGTGAATGATAAACTCAGACAACATGTTGTTGAATTGTATGGAAAAAATAATTGAAAAATTACAAAAAAAAAGAGTTTGATGCCTTTATTCTAAAGTGTCATAGCATCTCATCCAACCTCAGTACTGACATAACATAAGACAGTACAGCTTGCACATATAATGCTCTGTGTGTGGGCAATTCTTAGTTCACAGGCAACTCTATGCCATTCTTTGTGGACCACAAATCGTTCAGCAGCTCTGATAACTTTTTTCCAATGATCAGCGCTCAGGTCAGTGATGGGGAAAAGACATTGTTCTGTTCATTGTTGTTTATTTCAAAAGGTATTCAAATAGTGTATGCTAAAAAATTTTTTAGTGTTCTGCACGTGCACATGTAGTGTTCTAGAAGAATACAAAAAGTATTCCAGAGTCAAAATATTTCTAAAATGCTGGAGAAAAACACGGCATGGATACTATTAGCTTGTTCTTGTTGTAAACTGACCTTAGATGCACTTCTTAAGTTGCCATATTTGGGCATCTAGCTGGTTACCGAAGTGTAGATAGGACTTAGTTTATTCTAACAAGAAAACGATTTTATTCTTTTAACTGAGACTTTCTCCCAGATTAGAGACTTTTCTCTAATCCAAAGATGAAACAGCAGTAGCAATAGCATTTAATCTTATATACCACTCCATAGAGCTTTACAGAATTCTCTGGGTAGTTGACAATGCAGAAGCATTATTTGCATATTGCCCCCAACAATCTGGGCCCTCATTTTATTGACTTTGGAAGGATGGAAGGCTGAGTCAACCTTGAGTCTTGGCAGGATTGAACTCCAGGCTGTGGGCCAAGTTAACCTGCAATGCTGCACCTTAACCACTGTACCACCAAATCTATGTAGCATTTAGGGATTCCTAGGTTTTTATTGTCTATAAAATCTCATTTAGTGATCTGGCCAGAATTATTTCCACTTGTTACCGTCCCCTATTTTTGCTTTTCGTCAGGAAACACTCTGATTCCCAACTTATACTCTGGGACTACCAATATATAGATAGTTTTCATTTAACAGTTGCTTCATTTAGCAACTGTTCGGTTATGGTGACAATGAAAAGTAACTCTGTGATCAGTCCTCGCATTTACAACCTTTTCAGGTCTGTAAGACAAAGGGAAGCTGAAGTAAGATCATATGCACAGTAGAAGTTTCACTTAACAATTGAGTAAGCAGTCCCAATTACGGTCACTAAATGAGGACTATCTCTACTCATAAATACTGTACTATATCACTAAATCCCAACTATATTTCACAGGCGTCAAGTGGAAACATGTTTGCATACAGAAGAAACAGAACTGTATCCCACTGAATCTTTCCCATGTTACGAAATAAAAGAACTTTCAGTAAGAATAATTCAGAGATTGAATGTGGCAATGTGATCTAAGATTACTATATGGGTTAGCACAAAAGATGCACAATTCCATCTGCTGATGCTCTCTGTTCAAAAGTAGTCTTCAAACAGACCTACCTGGGAATGCAGTTTCCATATGCAGAACCTGGGCCATTCTTTCCACTTGATCAGTATGCACATTCAAAATAGCCCCAGAAGCCTTCTCACAGGAAGGAAACCCACTTTGCCTGAAAATAAAAATCAGATGCCATCTTAAAACACATGTTCTTAAAACAATCAGCCCACACTAAGGGATTGTGGTTCTGCTTGCTGCTTCAAATGTTTGTGGGAATGACTGATAGGAATTTGATAATATTTTCCGAAAGCATTATCCCTCTGTCTTCTCCAGGAGAGCCAAATAGCTCAGTCAAGAAGAACAGGGCAGCTGTTGCTACTCTCTTTCACTCTTCCCACCCCACCCCTACTCCCCCAAGGCTCAGTCTGAGGCGGTTGCCTCCATCTGCCTGTCAGGCTGGCCCACAGCTTCAGCCCTTGTCATAATGGGTTACCTTTAAAATGCCACATTTAGAGCCTGTTAACAATCAAGGCACCATGAAGCAGATGCTGAATCCTGCTGGGCAGATGCTGAGAATGGAGACTACCTTGGTTTCCATCTGGCAGAGAGCCTGAGCGATGGACAAGTGCAGCAGAGGAACTGAATGGGACGTTGTTTTCCATTGAGCAGCATCTCTCAAATTCATGGGGGAATTCTGGCAAAACCATAAACATTCCTGTTTCCTTATTCATTTTCTCATTGAGGGTTTCACATTCTTTGGCTGCCATGAGGAAAATCAGATGGGAAAGACACTTCCTCCTCGCTCGTTAACTCTCCCCCCACAACCCACTTCAAATTCCCTAGCACTGGCTCAGCAGATGGCTTGGGTTTTCTCTGTCCAAAGCCTCAATCCTCTAGACCAGGGCTTTTCAACCTTTTCACCCATTGTACCACTTTTAGGATATGGCAACATCCAAGTACACCAGTCGCCTAGCAAGGTGTCAAAAACTTGATGACCAAAAAAAAAAAAAAGGAAAAAGGTGATAAAACACAGGTAGTCCTTGACTTACAACAGTTCGCTTAATGACTGTTCAAAGTTACAATGGCACTGAAAAAAGTGCCCCCCAAGCCACAGCTGAGCAAGACACCTGCCTGCCTGCCCGCCCGGGGGCGCTCTTTCTCCTGTCTGAGGTTTTCATTGTTTTGAGCATTTCTGTTGAAGATTGGCAGCGGGGGTGGGGTGGGGGTGTTTGGGGTTTTTTTCCCCATCTGCTGGGTGGTTGCAGCAGGTTTTGGTCACTTCACATGACCCTGGGACACTGTGATCATCATAAATATGAATCAGTTGCCAAGCATCTGAATGTAAATCAAAAGACCCTGGAGATGCTGCAACATTCCAGCTGATTGGCGCTTCTTCTGGGCTTAGCAGAAGCACCAGGATCAGCGCCGAGCTCCAGCTGGAGCCTGGCGCTGATCCTGGTGCTTCCGCTGAACCCTGTCAGCCCTGCAGCTCCAGCCATCTCTCACTCAGGCTTGTGCAGTGCTGCCACTGGTTCAGCTCATTCCCCTTCCCCGCTACCACTTTTCTAAGATTGTCGCGTACCACTTGCCAGGTGCCAATGTACCACAGGTGGTACCCGTACCACTGGTTGAAAAGCCCTGCTCTAGACAAGGCTGCTGCCTCTGCCTGCTCCCAACACCACACTTCCTCAACAACTGCAGACAAGGCCTGGCAGCAGCAGGATTGCAAAAGTCCTTCCAGGAAGAATGCCTGGGCCAGAGTGGAGGAATGGTGCAAAATGAATAAGAGGAGTGGGAAGCATTGTGACTCCCTCTGCAGGGAACTGGCCAGGGATGAATCCTTAAAAAGAGATTTGCTGGCCTTGGATCTGCCCTGCAGGTTATACACACACTGCTCCAGAAACTCTAATTGAAGCAGGGGGCGCTGGAGAGATAAATGGTCTCTGCTTATATTCAGGAACCTTCTTCATAGTTTTGCTTTTTTTAAAGAGTGGTCCTAGGCACAAGGGACAAGTTCTTAGGTTAAAGCCAGGAGAGGTACATGATTTACTTCTTGGTGAGAGGAGTTTGATTTTGGAGGACTCCAGTTGGGGAAAGCTGAGTTGGACAAATCACGACTACAGATGACCCGAGATGGTCTTTCCAAAGGATGTGGTAAATTCATGAGGACTGGTCTGTCAGCAGCAGTTTCTCTTCAGTTCTCTGAAGCAGCTTCTTCATTTTCCCCCATTTGGGCTTCCCCCATGCAATCTTCCAAGTGGAAGAATACAGGTATGGAATGAAAAATGGACATAGCTGTCTTTCAACCAATAGTTCCCCGGAGCATTTATTTCTACCATAGGAGAAAAATGGATGTTCAATGGGTGTCCAGTGGATAGAGGAACAGGGAATGCACACAATAGCCCACTTTTCTGACCCCACATAAGGTTCTTCCACCTAAAAGTCTAATTTTAAAAAACTTGATTGTACCCATGTATATCAATCATTCTTTGATGTCTTATCTTTTTTCCTAGAATGGCAATAGTTCATACAGTACATTTTATGTTGTAAATATCAGTGAATATTGAATTATGAGGCTCAGTTAGATAGATCAAGCAAAATAGTAAAATTGCTTGGTTACCTAGCTGAGTTCTTTTCTGATACCAAATGTTATTTGAATTAGGGCTGGACAACCCACAAGGCCACGACTGAGCTCTAACACACACACACCCTTTGATCAGGGTATTGAATTTTGATTGTGCAATTTTTGAAAAGTGAGAGTGTGGTTTCTCAAAATTTTAATCCATAAATATAAAGAACCTTGTTGTGTAAGCCTTTGATATAGTTTTAATCTGGTTTAAAAACCAACTGGATTGGTTTTAAAAACCAACCAACTCTCTCTACACCCCTAATCAGGAAACTTTAACTCCATGAACTAGCCTCATCACCTCTGTCACTGTAACCTCCCCCAAAACAAATAAACGTGGTTTCCAGTAACATAAAGGGAGTCCACCTACTGTATGATCTACATGAAGTTAAACTCGTGTGGAGTAAGTTTCTGTAAAACAAACAATGTTTTATTTTCCTCAAGACTTTTACTTCATCTGCACATGTAAGTAGACAAGATTGCTATTCTAGAGAGCTTCTTTTTCACTCTTGTTTTAAAATGTTCAGTGTCAAAGAAAGCTAATAATTATATTGAAGGTCTTCCTGTGGAGTCCCAAATATCAGCTGCTGTTGCCTTCCTGTCCTGTGTTGGATCTCTCCAGGGTGTCTGTGGAAAACAGGATGCTGCAACCAGATGGATTTTTCATGTTTTTTTTAACAGTGCTCAGGTTGTACGAGCATTTTTACCAGAGCAAACTGTAGTACTTAGGGTTTTTTTCATATATAAGTCATAGGTACCAGCAATTAATACTTGGGGCAGATAGATATCAATACAAAAATCCTTTCAGTGTTACTCAATAGAATAGAATCTGCTTTTCTGTCTGGAAGAGAAATGGGGAGAAGGTTCTTTTGGAGGAAATATGCTGGAGTGGGGGAAAATAAAAGCTTATTTCAAATGCCAGTGACAGGCTTCAGAAAGAAAATGGTATTGCTCTATGGAAGCATATAAGGAAGACTAATGCTTGCTAGTGACTAGGATATTCAGGATTGGATTGAGAGAAGTGTCCCTGTCAATGGGAAAACCACCTCCCATAAGCTCTGCTGGGAAATGAAAAATCTTCCTGCAATTCTAGATGTATTCCATCTGAGCCAGAAATAAATCATACTGTAGATCCTAAGAGCAGAATGGGAGATCCCACAGGTGCAGAACTATTTTTCAAATGGCAATAAATATTGTGTGGACATAACCTTAATTAAGCTCTATTTATGGGAGAAAGACAAGCATATAGCTGCTTAGAAACCAAAATCTTTATTTCCTTCCTTTAACCTTATTTTCATAGTTGGTGGTTGGCATGGGGTTTTAAAATCCAACAAGTCAAGTAATCATTAAATTGTAGTCACTGCTACAATTCAGAAAATCATTTCAAAGACTCAACCAGACAGTTCAAATGTAATGCTGATAGGAGTCCGGACATAGCAAAAACCAGTTTTCACTATTCTAAGATGTTGTTTTAGTAAACAAGACAATGATTATTTTCAGCCATGTTGCCACTGACAGTGGCTAGCAGGCACAGGAATTTGCATACATCGTAACTCCTATTTGACAGCAATGTGCACTTTTTAAGGTGCTTGAGTCCACATGCTAACATCTACTTCCCTGTTGCTACAAAGCTGAAAAGAGGCATACTTCTCAATGGGCTCACTGTTTTGATTCAACAGCTTTTCTTTGCAAGGAACAGCTGGTTCATTTCATTAGCACTGCAATGAAAACAGCTGGCAGCATAAGTTTATTACTGATACCAGAGAGAAGCCATATCCCAAAGTCAATTCTCCTGGGAATGAGGGAAAGAACATGGCTGTGCTGGAGCTTCAGTCTACGGATCTGGTTGGAATGACTGCTGGAACAAACAAGACCATTCTTTGTAAAGAAATAATTTGTGATCCTTTCAATTTGCCTTTCTCAGGTTGGCAAAAATATTCTCAGGCTCTTCAGAACGAGGTTAGCTTTAATCAAAAAGTGATTTGGGAAGCTGTCAGCCCTACAATAATTGCCCAGATCAGGAAAGAACTAATCTGGATATTTTCTGAAACTTTCTGCCTCACCTTCCATCTTTGAGAAGCTACTCTTCACTTTCCCCCCACCCCAAGTGCCATAAATGCAAAGCTAGCAAGGAAACTGTGTGAGATAACCTGTCTAGCAGAGACACCAGGTGCCTTTCAACTTTTGTCTGTAGCATTCTGGTCAGAAGCAAATAAGTAGCAGATAAATTATGGGTACACAAGAGGAGCTTTTAAAAGCATTCTTATTAATGGGTAATTGGAAGAGAAGCTACTATATCATCCTGCACTTTCCAAGACAAGGTAAAGATCCAGGAATGCTGGATTTACCATTGTCTTAATCTCTTGCCTTTCCAGCCCAAGACATTCAGTCACCTCTTCTACCAGATCAGAATTAAAATAAAGTCTTAGTTTTAGCTTGAGGTGAGCCCTTTGTTGATCAAATAACACAGTGACCAAGGAGTGTGTCATACCTCATTACGGCCCCATTCTTTCTGTTGGGGTGGTTCTTCTATTCCTTGGACACTGAGAAGCCATGACAAAACCAGACCCAAGCAGCCTAGCATTTTGCACTCATCCTCTTCACTAGCAAAAGGGACTTCAATGATTGGGGAACTATCTCTGTGATTTAAACAGCATAAAATGAGCCATAAATAAACCCCAATTGACTTTGCAAGCTGGTTTGTCTCTGATGAAGAGAAGAAAGATTTTTAAATTAACTCTAATTGGTTTCATCACTGCTTGATTTGTTGGGCTATTTAACACACAAGAAGAGCTCAAAGAAGGAAAGACAAGGAATAAATTCACAAACTGTCAAACAGATCAGTCTCAGAGGTAGTTTTTACTGAAACTAGAAGGATTGGGAAAAGGTCAACAGCCTGGAAATGGTGCTCTTTCCTTAGCTCTACTCTCTCTTGTCTGCTCTTCCCCAAAATGTTGTCAATAGAGTTTTTGGCTCAACTGCCAGTGAATAATCCTCATTCTCTGTAGTATTTAAAAAGTATTTGATCTTAGGAAAAGATAATAATAAAGACATGTCCCTCCAGAATTATAGCCAGGCAGATCTGTAACTCCCAGCAAAATTCCATGGAGACTCTGGAGCAGTGGTTCTCAACCTGTGGGTCAGGACCCCATTTGGGGTTGAACGACCATTTCACGGGGGTTGCCAAACAATGCAGTCCGCCATTTTTTCCCCCTTTTCCTTAGCTGTGCTACTCCCTTTTATTCTATTGGCTTTTGAAAGCCAATAGAATAGACTCTCTTGAATAGAGTCTAATTCTAGTGGCTTTCAAAAGCCAATAGGAATTGTCCAGGCTGTCTCTGCCCTGCTGAGCCCACCAAAAGTCCCATTCTGCAAACGGTGCTGCAAGTTGTCTGCAGCGAAGGCGAGCTGTCTGGAAGCTTCCACCCCTCCCTGCTGAGCAACTACTAAAAATGTAAGTAAAAGAGGTGGGAGGCCGGCGGGTGCAGGGAGGGTTGCTGGCATGCGTGGGGCCCAGCGGGTGCCTTACCTCCCTTGGGCTGGGCCAGTTGGTGGCCCAGCCGGTGGTCGGCCTGCTCTGTCTCTGCTGCTTGCCAGCTACACCTTCGCCGGTGCAGGGGGCGGCACCACGCATGTGCAGCGCTCCCGGGCAGGGAAACTCCTCGACTTATGACGGTTGGATAGTCCTCGACTTATGACCAGTTGGGGTCGCAGTATTAAAAAGATTGAGAACCACTGCTTTGGAGAGACTGATGGAACAATAATGCTATGATATAGTTACATATTTCCTGCCTCTAGACCATTTTACACAAGACCAACCTGCATTTGACAGCATAAAAACCTTCAGTTAAGAAAAATATGCTTATATGTGGAAAAAAATCCAGCATGCAGAGTTTGAAGGAAATAAGGATCATATGGTAGACTGGGAGGCTTACATTCACTCTTGCACAGAGCTTTAGAGAAAAGAAATTAAAGGAAATACAACTGAGTGAGAAGAGATTGAGTTTAATCCCAGAATTCGTTTGTTTGTTTTGAAGGAAGAGATTAGTTCTACCACAGAATTGTGAAGGAAGGAATAGATACTGCCTCCAAAACAGAATTTAAATGAGTTTTTGTAACAATATATAATTATCTTGTTTCATAAATGATTTTTTTTTCATAAGTCATGGTCTACAGATATTCTACATTCAAAAAAACTTATCTTGCACTTTAAAAGGTCCATTTTTTTGTAAAAATGATTTTTGGTTCAATCCTTAAATTTTAAAGTATATCTGCACTCACTATCAGTGAGTAAGAAACTAGCAGTTCCATTAAGACTTAAAATTATTTGCTAATTTATAGCATAACCAAATATTGAGTCTGCAGGAAGGAGAGAACTCATGCCCTTGTCACCTCACGCCTGGACTATTGCAACGCGCTCTACATGGGGCTACCCTTGAAAAGTATTCAGAGACTACAGTTGGTCCAGAATGCAGCCGCGCGAGTGATAGTGGGTGTTCCTCAGTACACCCATGTTACACCTATCCTCCATGAGCTGCACTGGTTGCCTATTGGTCTCCGGGTCCAATTCAAGGTGTTGGTTATTACCTTTAAAGCTCTATATGGCTCAGGGCCAGGCTATTTGTGAGACCGCCTACTACCTCATAGTTCCCTTCGTCCGGTTAGATCCCACAGGCTGGGCCTCCTTCAGGTCCCGTCGGCCAAGCAGTGCCATTTGGCGGGGCCGCGGGGGAGGGCTTTCTCTGTGATGGCGCCCACGTCTTGGAACCAGCTCCCCCCGGAGATTAGGACTGCTCCCACCCTGTTGGTTTTCCGCAAGCTGCTTAAGACCTGGCTTTTCTGGCAGGCCTGGGGTTTATAAAATCTGACCCCTGGATGAATGTTATTGTATTGTTTGTTTTGTTAAGTTATGTTGTGTTTTTATTGTTAGCCGCCCGGAGTCCTGAGGGAGTGGGGCGGTCTATAAATTTAAATAAATAAATAAATAAATAAATAAATAAATAAATAAATAAAACCTGGCAGCAGTGCCACCACAAGCCTCACACAGGCGCTGGTGTCACTGCGAGCCTCACATGTATGCTCGCAATCCCGTTTGCATGGTGTGCATGCTCGCAGCCTGTTTGTGTGCACACGTGCAAGTGTAGCCACATTCATGTTTGCCCATGCACGCGTAAGTTGCCTGCTCCTTCCTCTCACACCAGGCTGCCAACCCAGAAAGATTGGAGGCCCCTGTTGTACACTATCATAAACTGACACTTTATAACAGGGAAAATATTTAATTTTTAGAAATTTTTAATTTTTTAACAAACAAACAAAGTCATGGAAATAGAGACTGATACTATAGTGACTTGCAAAACAGAACTGATGTATGTATAAAATGTAAACAATATGAATTACTAGAAAGAAATGTAAAGCAACTCTAGCCACTCTGAAACTCAATGAATAAAGCAATGAATCCCAATATA